TTCTATAACTATCTAAATCACAGATCTGATATCACTCAGCTGCTTTGAAGGGTACTCAAGTGTGGTTTACTACACCAAATAAGGCTATTGCCTGTCCTGAGGGCTATATCAAGCTAGCTAGTGAAACCATAAAAAAATGGTTTCAAATTGAAAGAAATTTTAACTACATCTAATTGGTAATTTTCTTTACTAAACTATCCTCCTTCTTAAAGCAATGATCTAAATCTAATTTTTTCCTAACAAGTAATTTTATTTTATTTCTTAATAAAGAGAAGTGCCAGAATTTTTTCATTTATATTTACATTTTCTCCTTCTCTTCTTCCAGTTTAGCTTGTCCCTACTAATAAATAACCTAGCTCACAAGAGTCTTCTCTTCTTGTATTACTATGCTATAGTATTTTTCAACTTCTTGAGAGCTTCTTCTAATAAGTTTTTCTATGTATATTCTTCTGTAAGCCTTCTTTTCTTCAAAGTTTTTTGGGTTTTCCTATGGTCTTTTCACTTCTGAGTTTTGGATGGTCAGCTCAGATTTTTTTTTTTATGGTCTGGGTTTGTAGATCTTCTTTTTTCTTCTTCTTTATTTTCTCTTTTTTTTTAAAATAGTTTTGTATTATTATAAATATATTTTATTATAGAGCATTTCTATTTATACATGGCATGTATATACACAGTTAATATAGAGAGCCAATCAGATTACACAATTAGGTGTAATATAAAATTATTGCTTTCTCCAAAATATTACTGATATCTCAAAATTTCGCTTATAAAACAACATAGGACAGTTGGGACAAATTTGAAACAAACAATTTCAAAAAAATATTAGTAGCTCAAAATTTTTATTATGATAACATTTTTTTTGGCTCTTAAATAAAATATTTAAATTTTAGTTTTGATAGTTTTTTAAACTAAGAATTAAGAAATTGATAGGACGAAGTTAAGAAATTCTAGGATGACTAGAATGAAATAGAAGGGAGAAAACCAAAAAGCCTAGAACAGTCATAATATACAGTATATTATATAACTCATAAAATTGAAATGTTAATATTTTTAAAAAAAAATTTGTTGTATTACTTTAGTACAAATTACTATTAATTAAATAAAGATCAATTTTATTTGTTTTTAATATGTAGATAAATATTATACAAAATTTTATAAACTCTTAGTTGAATTTACTTAAATTCTTACACCATTTTGGCTAACTATTTACACGCAAATTAAAATTATTCTTGCTGGTCTATTTCTATGTTGTCTTGATTGTAAAATCTATTGTCTGAATCAAAAAAGATACTTTATTTCTTGTAATATAATTAATAATTTATTTTTAGTTTTTGATCTCAATTCAGGATAGTTTTTTTAGGCATTTTTACCAAGTTGCTCAAGAAGCATTTCAATTTTTATCAAAATTTTAGACTTGAGTATATTTTCTTCATTATTTTGTAATATAGCTTCTTTTTTTGTAATTGGTATTAGCCTAAATAATGAAGATTTGTTTTTGTTAATAAATACTGCAGTAATAAAATTTTGCTGAGCTTGTTTAGCAAACTATGTAAAATTCTCCAAATTTTCAGCCAATTCAAATTCTTCTCCTAAACTTTGTCAGACAGTTTGAGTATTTATCAGATTTACAAACTCTAGACTTCACAATAGTGCACAGAATCTTTGATATTCTACTGTCGATTCTGGATAAGTTCTTAGCTCTGACTGCTATTGATTATTATATCTGATTGTTTTAAATAGATTATTTCTAAGCTAAAATAAATAATTAATAGCAGCATATATATAATTAATTTAAAATAAAAAATATGCATTACTTCAATAACATTTTTGTAATTGTGTGCTGCAATTTTCTAATGATGATATTGAAGAACAGGAGATATTAAAGTTTTTAGTACCTTATTTACTTCTTCAATAATCATGTTAATTTCTTGATGCTGTTCATAAATTCCTGATCAAGAGACAACACAATTTCTCTCTATAATATCATGAATCTTAGAACAAAGTTGCATAAATTGAATTTCATCGACAACCTTTATTAAGTGATAAATCGAGTGATATCTTGTTGACCAAATTGGAGAAAATGTTCATTTAGCATCTTTTTAAAAAAAGATTATTGGTTCTTATAGATTTTTATAATTAACTATTGCCTGGAGGTAAACAAATATTTTGATTTAAAAAAAATTAATAGCAATTTTTTTTTTAATTAAAAAAAATAATAATAATTAATAACAATAACCTGCTCAAATTTTATTTGATATAGTAGGTTTTGTTGTCTTTAGCCTAAACAAGATATCTTTTGACAGTCAGATTAGAATGGCTTTTTACATATAGCTATAAAAGCTCTATAGCTATAGCTTGACATATATGTTACAAATTGAATCCTAAGACTTGTGATCATTATTATATCTTTTAAAATAGGCAAGTTGATTTTCAGTTCAATAAACTTGATATATCGCAAACTATTTCAAATCAATATCTCTATGAATTAAAAAAATAATAAATATTGAGAAAAATCATTTCTTTATATTTTTAGTGATTCTAACAAATTTCTTTCTTGAATATCTCTCAAACCACTAGCAGGCAAATTTGCTATTTAATTTTTTTGCCCTATTATTCCAAATTTTATTAAGCCACATATTATAATCTTTTAATTAAAATAAAAATGGCTGCACTAATTGTTATATTAATTTAGCAGATTTTTGGAATTAGACCTCTATCCAAAGCTCCAATAATTGTTAAAAATTAGATTCTTATTTGCAAATTTCAATTCATAGTTATATAAGAGAGCTGACATTTAAGACCTCATTATAGCTCTCCTAGGAATTGTCAATTGACTATTTTCTAAATACCAGAGTTAATCATTTGACAATTATAAAATTAAAATAAAATTATATAAATTTTGTATATTTTATATACCTTTGCATATTTTATATACTCTTTGCATATTTTATGCACCTTTTGCATATTTTATATATAATTATGCATGATTATACATAATCAAATATAAAATATGCAAGGGTGCATAAAATATACAAAAAGTATATAAAATATACAAGAGGTATATAAAATATACAAAATTTATATAATTTTATTTTAATTTTGTAATTGTCAAATAATTAACTCTGGTGTCTTGAAGAATAGTTAATTGACAATCCTCAAGGAGGCTATAATGAGGTCTTAAATGTTAGCTTTCTAAAGTTTGATATATAATAAATAATTAGAACTTGTATTTAAACCCAAATCTATTAAAAGAGTAGATGTAAGTGGAGATTTGAATAAAGGCCAAATTCTTTAAATCAGCTGAATTGTATTTCAAAACTTTTGAAGTAGGATTAATTGTAATATGATCTTTATGACCGAATTTCATAGCAAAAATGATACTTGTATATACAATTATAGACCTTCAAGATTATCACACATATATACCTTTTGCACTATAACATTAAAGTTGATCATAACTAACTTCATTGAATTAATTTTTGGAATAATGCTAGAAAGATAAGTAACTTATTTAAGCAGGCACTTATTATAACAATTTAAGAGATAAAAAAAATTGTGGTAAGGAAAAATATATAAAATTTAAAACCAAATTAGCTTTAAACAATTTTTTAATTATTGGTCAAAAAATATTAGATAAATATTTGAATATTAACTAAAATATTACTTACCAGTTTAACTCCATATATGCTTAAAGCATATTCATTTTTTCATGTAATTGTCTTGGTATAAGAACTAATCATAGAAATTTCTCTCTTAATTTTGTAGTATGACAGTAAAAAACACCATCACAAACAATGACAATCTATTTATAGATTCTCATACTTAATTTTGAATATTTTTTCTATATATGAAAGAACTTTCTCAATATTTACAAGAAAATTAGGGTTAATATTAAGAGAGTTGGAACATAAATCTCTAGAATATTAATTTTTAGATCAGTAACTTTTTGCTGAGTAAGACTGATCTTAAAGACGAATATATTAATTTGTTTGTCATGAATTTGTAAGGTTTAAAAACAAGTAGATTAATTAATTAATCAGCTATATGATTTTTGATTTCAGCTATTCTTTCTTTTTGTATTTTAAATAATTTTGGTAGTGATATTTTGTATTCTGGGCATTTTCTTTTCTGATTTTCAATATTTTGTTGACTACAACCAAGGCATATTTTCATATTTGTTACATTAGTCATTGTAGAAGCTACAAAAGAATCAATAATATTAGTAGGAGATGACCAGAGATGATGATTTTCTGCAGTGCTATTGGGTCAATTCCATCTGTGCTAAATTACAAATTCTGCAAATAAAAATAATAAATTCTGCTTAATTTCTATGGTATTTCTATAGATTCTGTATGGTTTCTGCAATATTTTATTTATTGAAATTTACTGTCAAAAATATAAAAAATATATTTTTTTTAATGATATTTTTTTTTCAAAGAAAAAAAAATTTTAAAGAAAACAGTTTTTCAAAAAAAAAACATTTCAAGAAAAAATAATAAAATTTGAAATTGTAATAAAAATTTAAATACTATTATTATCGCTATTTAACCTGTTGTTAAAATACAACATATTTAAACTTTGCAAACTTTCTTCACTTAAATTTTGCCAGTTAGTATCTAAAATTATATTATATTTTAAAAAGCTTCTTTCAACCGCACAGGAAGAAACTGGTAACCAAATATAGTCAAGTGCGATTTCAGATAGATGGGTAAAGAACTAGCCATATTAGACCAAAATTCATTTAATGTAATTTCTTCAAATACTTTATCATATTTCAATCTACAATAGATAGACCATTCATGTAATAGTTTATTGGATAGATTATATAATTTTGATATGATTGAATAATTACGAATATCCTTTCTTGTAATATTATCAAGATGAAGGAATTTTGGGTCGAATACTTGGCTTGCAGAAAATAAAGGCCTACCAGGATGAGAAGGAATATAGGCAAAAAATTTCTGATATGCAACACCATGAAAAATAGAATAAAATTTGACTAGTTAAAAAGATTTTGATAAGATTAATATATCTAGCTCCAAACCAAAATATTCGGTACTCATATTGGTTTCAATATAAGCTATAAGTTGTTCAAGTTGACTTTCAACTAGAGGGAATACAGGTTTTTTCTGTTAAAAAAAATCTAACGTCTGTATAAATTTCTGTGAAAAAATAGCAATAAAATTAATATAAATTACGATAAGACCGAAATCTTTAGGATTTGCTAATAATGATGTAATATTTTTTAATATATCAGTTTCATCGATCTTGCATTCATCTTAAAAAAATGTTGGCCAATATATAATGTGATCCTTTGTATACAAAATCATCTCAAACCAAGAATTCTATCTTGTTATAACAGGTAGTGGAACTTTTCTTGGTGAGGTTATTTAATAAAATTATAGATGATCTAAATATCGATAACAACATGCTGGAAACCTTGAAAATGAGTCTTTAACTTTAGTCATTAATAAATTAACTTTGGAAAAATAGGAATAATTACCATGTATCACTATATTTAAAAAAAAATTTTATAGCTCTATTCCATAAAGACTAGTAATGCTATTATTGTATTATACATAAGTTAATATATATTATTTAAATAAATTTATTTTACCCAATTAAGTTTAAAATATGTGCACAACAAGGTATATGTACCAATTGAGGCATTACACTAAGCAAAACATCGCAATAGCATTTTTTATGTATGTGGCTGAGTCTGATACAAAAACACGAGGAAAGGTAAACAGAATATTATATTTTGCAAGAACTTGATAAAGTGTTTGTCCTATTGTACAATTATTAACTTGTTTAAGAAAATCGACAGATACTAATTTTATATTATCTCTATATACAAATAGAGTATTAACTACACTTCATAAACAGCTATCTGTCATTTCATCCATAATAATTCCTACATGCTTTTTTTTAAACAAGGATTTAAGACTTTCAAAATTATTAAGAAAGACTTGAAGAAGATATAATTGCTGTAATGTAGATGCTTGCGGAAAGACCCGTCTTCTTTACAATACTTTTTTAAAAAAGAATGCAAGTGATTAATTTTTTCTATAGGTATATCTGCTGCTACAAACATTTCAATTAAGTAATTTAAAAAATTTTTTTTGATTCTGAAGATGAAAAAGATGCGGCAATAGTTGTTGATACTGCTGCCTATTTTTATTAGAAATTTTATTTGCTTTGTGAGTTTTACTATTAAGATGATTATCGACTATTGATTTTCATGTTCAGTCAATAGAATGATCACAAAAATTGCAAAACAAAATTCCATTATCAACTCTAAAATCCTCCAGATTATCTTTAACTCGAGTATAAACTGTGACTTTTGATATTTTATTTTTTTTCTTTGCATTATAGCAATTAAAGTAGAAATTAATTATTGGGTATGATCGAACAAGATGTGTAAAGACAATAATAAGACAGATACAGAAAATTTATATAAAGATAAATATGAAGACAGTTCTTATTAATTGTGGGTCTTTTTATATAATTTCATGTTAGTTAATATTTTAACTTTTTTATCCCTAGGTCTCTCTTAAAATGATCACCTTTTGAAGGGTTATTTTCCCTTACTGTACATGCAAAGACTCGCGGTATCAGATAATACTAAAGACACAAAAAATAAAATAATGATATGTACTAATAACAAACAAGTAATAAACAATAAATAAATAAATAGTTAAAGATGCAGTACTAAATAAAATAAAGTAAGTGCTGTAAGCAATTGAGAATCTTTGTCACGAACGGTTTTGTTGGCATTACATGACTCATGTAATAATCGTGACATGCATAACCTTCCGAATTGTTGAGTTAGCTAAATCTGAATTTATTTTTACAATAACAAAAAAATTCAACAGAATATATTGAGGCTTATAATAGAAGTTTTTTTCTTAGTTTTCTTATTTTATTTTACTTCTTTGATTACTAATTTTTTATCTATAAATTCAAAGCATCTTCGATATTCACTTTAGATTTCATACATACAGTACTTTGCAATATATCCTTACCAATTTTAGTAGTATTATCTATTACTTGACATTTTTCATTAGCAGCCTCAGGCTAATCATAGATCAAAATTGCAAGGACTAAATCACACATTTACTTCTAACCTACTTTCTGCAACAATTCTGCAGTAACTGTAGCATTTTCTGCAATCATCACCCTATTTCATGATTTCTGCGGTATTCTGTGCAATGCAGAAAATCATTGTCACTAGAGATGACCTTTCTTTAGATAACGAATTAAGAATTTCTGTAAAGTAGGCATATAACTCTTTGTCGACAATTTTCTGAATTTGAGAGTTAATATTAAAAATTTTTTTATACTATGATCTAGAAAAAGATTGATATGCCCAAGATAAATTAGTGTGTTGAATTTTATTTTGAAACACAATATTAAATATGACAAAGCTGGTGACAATGTAATAAACTACTGTATTAGACCCTTGATCGAGATAATTCTTCTGGCCTTTTTGCTCATTGTCAAATACGATAAATAAAAGGCTTTTGGGCAATGGCTCTTCATGATTTGATAATTCTTCAAGCTATTTTTGAAATCAATGATAACTTCCAGAGTTTGTAATATGGTTGTCGATATCTATGGTCATCTTTGATCATAAAATTGAATATTTAATAGCTAAAACAGCAAGTTAAATTTTTGATATATATTGCCTATGTCATGCCCTATATAATGAATTGATTGTAATAGCAGTTTTAAAAAGCTTTTCTGACTCAAAACATCACCTTAATTATTCTGAACCAGCATTTCAATAAATTTGATAGCAAGCTAATTCAATATTATAAAATATCAAAGATAGCTGTAAATACTCTTTTGTAAAATTTTTAATTATTACAGTTTGCATATTGATGTAACTGATCGAATTTGAAAATAGCTGCACACCTATACAATTACTTGAACAATCATATGATTGTTGTCTATATAATGATTTTTTAGTAAAAATAGAAATAGCCAACAGATTCTATGAAAATAATATATTTATACTAAATCTTTGGCCAACAAATACATTTTATAATTATGCAATTAGACAATCATCAGGTAATTGTAAGATTGTGTAGCAATCTACAAATTGATCAAAATTATATCAATATTCAAACTGCAATAAATAATTTAAATAACTTGAAAAAGTTATTTTAAAAAGAATAAATTACTGTATGCCAATGGTGTCCTACCACAATTATACTAAGAGTTAAAAAAAAAAATCAAATTCAATATTGACTTGATTATACTTATTGAGCTATTCGCGTAGGCTATATACCATAATATTTTTCTAAAAAGAACCTATTACTGTCCCAAATTAGCTATCTAAATCCTCAAATAATGATATATATTCTGCTTTCGCTATTTCAAAAATCACACTGATATGCTTATATTGATTATTAAATCAGAAATTTCACTATTTGGCAAGTGTTTTACTAAGTCTATATTGTTCCTTATACAAATTACAAGTCATAATCTTATTATTATAAACATTTAGCAATTGATTTTTTAATTTAACTATTTTGTCTCTTTGATTTTCTAAAAAATTATAGGTCATAATTATATCATCATAAGCCCTTTGTAACTGACTTCTTAATTTAACTATTTTATTTTCTTGATTTTCTATAATCAGAGATTTTTGTTGATACTCTAATTGGGAGAGCTCTAAAAGCCTTCTAGTTCTGTCAAACTCAGCCATCAAATCAGTATAACTCATAGCTTGATTAGTATAATCTATAGCTAAGTTATCTTGATTAGTATCAAGCTAAACCCTTCTTGATCTAAACTTGCAAGACTATAATAATCATTAGCAACATTTGATTATAATGCCTTTGACAAATAATATAAATATTTAAAGAAGAATAATGCTTAGCAATTTCTTGTATAGAAGGTTGAAGAAGAACAAGTCACCTAGCCACTACAAGAGCATCAGCATTTTGTATTCTTTATGAGTTTATATCACAAGGTTTAAGCCTATTGTATTATATGTTTGAACTAAATTTGCAAAAATATATTGAGGTGAAATTTTTCTGATTGCTCTTGAGAAGTTAAAGAAGTTTCTTCTAATTGCTCTTGAAAAGTTGACACTATAAAAAAATATTTAAAATTTGCAAAATTATATTCTTACAGTTCAGTTTGTATAAAACGAATCTTCAAATTTCAAATTTTATTTATTTTTTGGTAAGTACTTATTGGAGTGGATTATTGTAGATTATTTAAACTAGGCATTCTCTGCTATCTAATTATATATCAATTCACGAGTTACTAATAATAAATTAAAGATACAAAAATTTCTGAAAAATATTATAAAAGAAGTACAGGTGAGCCAATCAAATCTAAGAATCAATATGCAAATTATTCTAGAATCTAATTTTCTAATTTGGTAGATTCTCTGACTGATCTATTCTTTAGACTAGTGATCCAAGATGTTTGTATAATATATCTAGAAAACCATGAGTAGATATGTGATATAAATAGATTATAATATATTTTTCAAAAAAGTAGTATAATAGTTTCATCTTGATCAATACCATTTTGAACAGAGTATGAAAGAGTTAGTCTAAGGTTAGTTATAATCTGATTGTAACAGTCAATGAAAATATTAATTATAGTTTGGATAATAGAAGTTGGTAGAGCAAGTCAAGCAAGTGAGTGCTGAAGTAAAAAAAGATTAACAGAATCGTAGGCCTTACTCATATCTTGAGACAAGAGCCATATATCTTTGTAGTTACATATAGTATTCTTAATTAAGTTATTAAGGATATATAGGAGTTGTAGTAGAATTTCTAGATAGAGCACATAGTTGAAAGGTAATAGAATATGATATTTTTGAAATACAGTACTGAGTTAATTGGTAATAATTTTAGTATAGATTTTGTGAATATGTTCTACAAGACTAATTGGTCAAGTAAGGTTGAGATTGCTATCAAAAGTATTATATTTGGTATAGAAAATATTCTACTGTTTTTTCATTGTTTTGGGATTTGGCCCTGGGTAAGACAAAAATTAAAAAAAACAGTAAGGGCTTGTAAAAATATTAGACCAGAGTGCTTGATCATTTCATAGCTAATACCAGTAGATCTACAAGCTTTGCCATTTAGAAGCTTAGAGATAATTGAAGTGATTTTTTTAATTGTAATTAGTAAAGTAAGAGTGTTGTATTAGTTAGGATTAATATAGATCTGTAGTAGATATTCTTGTTGCCAAGAGCTGTTGAAAAGTATTTAATTAATAGGTTCATAAGTAGTCTAGTCATAAAAATGCTGTTGAATATGTTGTTTAATAAGAGTTGATTTAGTAATTAATTGATTTGGTAATTTAATATTTGAGAAATATATTGGGGCTTAATAGCGATTGAGAATACTGTTGATAGCATGTATAAGCTTGCTAATAAGAGTCTCACATCTCTTCTTAGAAGCTTGTTAAATTTGTTGATGGAGAAGAAGAGAGTTTTCAGTATATCATGCTTGGTACAATTAGTACCATATATCCTGAGTATGATTTATCTATTCTAGAAGTTGAGCAGAATCTGAACTTAAAAGAGTTTAGATATTACATTGAAATCATAAGTTAATATCCTGAATTTGTGAGTTAACTAAAGAGATATCTAAAGTTGTATTAGTATTTTTACAATTTTTGATTAGATAACCAAGTTT